AGAATTTGAATAGTCCCTGAGAGATTGTATGTCCTAAGATATAAAGATGTTAAGCTATATTGGTACGTGGTACAAATTATATGTATGAGGAACTTAACTCCATTTAAAGTAAGATTTGTATTTAAAACTTTCCTAATGAGCATCAACCACTGTTTTAGATGTCAATGCAGTGTTGAATAGAGTTTTTTTTTGTTTCTGTGCCAAAGGCTTCCTTAACAGCGGTTAATATGGAAGAAAAATATCTGTGTTAGCAACATAAGCCAGCAGAAGATGACTCCCTTTGTAAACAAGTTCTTAGATTTTCTTGAAGATGTTTTTCTGATCAACAATAATTCACTAAATAAATTAGAAAGGAGAGCTTGAACAAGAAGTGAGTGATAACTTGCAATTAGTTACTTATATTATTACTGTCCTGATTGTCAAATTAATGAATAATAGGATCCACATTTTCCAGTCCATTCTTCAAGTTTTAAAAAGTGTTTTTAAATATAGAAAAAATTAAAAATTCTGGAAAAAAATATATATATTTGACTATAACCAATTACAGATAGCTCACACTGAATCCAAGAGAGCTTTTACAAACAGAATACTTAAGTTACAACAGCAACTATAAGATTTTCTAAACTTGTATGAAATTCATTGAACAGTTCTTAACAGAAAGTCAAAGAATTCTATGTTGACAAAGAATTGGATGCAGACACAATCTGGGTTTGTGCTAGGGAATGGGTGTGCACAAAAACACCTTTAGTGCATCACTAGCAGTGGTAATATGGCTACAGTCTCTCATACTCTCTTCAGTGCATCTACATACATGACACTTTCATGATAAAAAAAAGTCCTTTTCCTATTTTTTTTTCTTATTCATCAAAGCCAGCTTTGCATTTTGTTTCATTTTTCAGCTATTTCAGCTGTCTTGGCTGAAAAACAATTATATTCATAGTTCATCTTGAGCATGATCCCTATACTTACTTATGTAAAACTGATTAAGACTCCCAAATGATTATTTATGTGAAAAAAATGCATCTGGTATTGATTTTTACACTGTTAAAGTCACATGTAAATCCGATAGTAGTCAGGCAAGGACCTGAAATGGGCTTGGATTGTGGTTTCTGCTGATCCTTGCTGGGTGTCAGAGGCTTTGCATTTTTTCATATTCCTGGAAGACGTTACATGTCATAACACAGTGTGGGAAAGGATCCTTAGAAAAAAGACTGAAGGAATAAATAGTAGGAGGAAGTTTTCTTCCATTTTCTTTCTGAATAAATGTTTTTGGTGCTCTGACAGCATACAACAAATTAATGGAGCTGAGTTATACTTCCAAAACGGTGAACACTGTTTGCAACACACAGTCTTGCCTTTCAAGCACTGCCATGGCTTTGAAGTCTTAACTCCAAAGTCAGTCTAGACATGAAGAATGACACCATGGCCCCACCAGAACCGAGGAAAGACCTGATTTTCATAGGCCAGGCTATCACCCTAAGCTTTCTGCTATTTAAACTTTATTGGTTACTAATTCCTTATGGAAGGAGGTGGAAGAAAGTAACAGCAGTAGGTTAGAGTTGATGTAGCACAAATCATAATGAACATCCAAACAAGGAATCTAATTATTCTAAACCCCCAGAAGTTTCTTTGGAGTGTAATTGACTGTCTGGAATCCTAACCAGTCTCTCCCATAGTGATTTTAGCTTTGTTTTTATAAGCAAATCCAGACAGGTTAAAACTCATTTTTTATATAAATTGCAAATTTATATGCATTTGGTGATAGTAACAATGATCAATTTCCAGTCAGACTAGACTGTGTGTGGTCATTTGCCCCACCTCTACCTTCAAATTTTTTTTAGGACCCATAGGTTTATAGTTTTTATCTGAATCTTCCCCTCTCCTCCAGGTGGCATTAGAATACTGACTTCCCTTTTTCTTCAGTTGACATGCTGCAATTCATCCAAAATACTTCACCTTTTGAGTAAAGTCTGCCATACCACTGACTTCTTTGGCACTACATTTAATTCCACTGAAGACACATTGGGAAGAAGGGTATTTCCTGAAAACGATTTAGACTGAAACTTGGATATTCTCAAAGTCAGTTTTGGAAAACAAGCTACTCCTGTGGTTTTATTCCTAGATAGATGTCATGTCTTCCCATGAGGGAAAGTCTGCTCTCAGCACAAATCTGACAGGGAATCCATTACTTTGCTGAGCTCCAGAAGCAAAATGAATCATGCAGTGATAGAAAACTTCATGTGTCAGGAAAAATAATTTGAAGCAACAGGCACTCATTGAACTAAGGTCAGGTGGTGACTTTCTTCTCTTCATTGACAAGAATTTAAAGGGATGTAAGCTGTGAAACATTTTTACAGAGCCTGTGTAAGGCCCTAAGCAAATAACCTGCTACAGCCAACCAGAGGAAGACATTGAGGGGCTGGGTGGATTTGGGCATGAGAGTCTACACAAAACTATCGCCTACCTTCTCCCTCCTCTTTTAATACTCCTACGATTGTGCAAGCACTCACAGAGCAAGACTGGAGGGGGAAAACAGCGTGTATGAGAGTCAGTTAAGTCATAGAACTCCTGATGGGTTTTTCTGTGGCTGTAATAGAGCATCTGTAATAACTTAGTCTTCCCTGTTAATGGGAGTTTTAAACCCTGTGTACTCAAAACAGAAATGCAGACATGACTAAAGAGGTTACTGTAATAACAATACTAATCCAAAGAACAGTGTCTCTTCTCACATAAATATCTCAATTTTAACAAGTCCTCCTTAACTTGTATATATGATCTATAAAATGTTAATTTAAAAATGCATTTATTATTTATATTTCCTATCCACTGATGTAATTTTCAGATTAAGATGCAACTTAAAGATTCACTGAAATCAAAGTCTATTGGACCAGAAGTCTTTCCACTGTTTCTTTGCAGTGTTTTATCTCCATGCCAGCAAGGAGCAGAAACAGATGAGTCACAGAGCTGATCTGAATAAACTCAAAACTGTCTCTGTTAGCCAAGAATAACAAGGATATAAGGTAGTCTTGCACTACCCCTTTTTCCTTTGGAATACACTCCTTTGGATGAGATCAGAACAACTTTGTGCTAAAAAAAGCCCTTACAACCAACTGAACAAAAAAACCCCACCTTAAAAAAAAAAAAAAATCACCTTCAAAAACTCAAGAATGCAGCATTGCTTATTGTCTGAGTAACTGCTTTCTTCACTTGAGTACCATCTTGTATTGAACTAGTAGGGAAATGCAGATAAGGATAACTTACGGTGTGAGATGGTACTTCCCCTGTGTACTGTCTCTATACATGAGTGGTGCTGAGGAGAGTTTTATCTGGTTCTAAACTTTTTGTGGGTTCCTCCATACAGACCCCTTTTCTCCCATTCCATTTTCTCACTACATTTTGAGCACAGTTTATACATGGACATTCTAATTGCAGTCAACTGTAAGGGAACATGAATACTGTAAGTAGAAGCTTACAGTAACCCTTGATGATGAAAAAAAAGCCTGTGCTGTAAATTACAAGTTACATGGTAAAAAAGGCACTGACCTTGTAATGCTTGGCTGAAGAAGCATTTTCTTTCTTAACTATGTTCTTCAGCCAATTTTCTGCCTTTCATCAGTTGTGTCATTGTTGGATATGGTAAGAAGACTAAACTTGCCACGTCTTATTCTACACTTATAACTCAGCTTCCTGTTTCCTTTTTCCAAAAGCTAATTAAGACTGCAGTCTTTCATAGTTGCTCATGGGTTGAGGGGGAGATATTTTCTGTTCTATGGAAGGAAAAAATATTTGCTTATCACAAAACAGTTAACACAGTTGGAAGAACATTCTGACTCCATTTCTGCTACACTGTTTTCTTTAATCAGTTTTGTTTTAGTTTTTTATAAATTATCTTCTGTCAGGGATGCAACAAGGAAGAAGAGTGTAAGGTTTATTTCTTAAATTATTTAACCTTCATCAGCTCTATCAGACTGCTGTCAATTATGGAATTATAAACTTAACTTTTAAAATAATGCTTTGTAATGCTATTGTTCTTTCCGTCTACTTTCATTTTTTTGATGTCTTCAAGTAATTGGATGTTGGAAGTCTTAAGTACAACTTTTCCTCTGAATAAGCTGTTCATTTTAGGGTGTTTGTGATTAATGTTTTGTCAGCTTTAGTTCGTAAAAAATGAGAGAAATGTACTCAGCTATGCCAAAGATTCTGCAAATTAAAAGCTGGAATGTAGTGGTAAAGACTCAGCAAAAATCTTCAAGGAATTAGTGTTCAGAAGTCTAGTACTGCCAACGTCAGCCACACCTATAAAAATAAATCTGTTCTGTAAAATTATTATGGCTATTTTCCCTTGCCTTTTACAGTGTACCATAATTTGAAAAGTAATATCTGAAGTCTAATGTCTTAAAGTTTATGGTTTAGACTTTGATAATCTTATGTAATTTATTAGCATTCCCTCTCCCAGGGAGTCAAAATCAAATCTCTGATAGCTTTAGTGAATTTACGCTTTCATGTAAGAGAGAATTTGTCAAGCAGATCTATGGTAGAGCTTTTATTTCTGTCATATTAATTAAGAAGGCATTATATCTTATAAGACCATCAATGCTAAATTTAGTGTTACCGTATGAAACTATCAGTTAGCCCTGGTTTGCTGTTACATATAGCTTACATGTATTCAAGAGAAGGCTCCAAGGAGACCTTACAGCAGCCTTCCAGTACTTAAAGGTGGCCTGCAGAAAAGATGGGGAGAGAGTCTTTATCAGGGAGTGCAGCAATAGGATGAGGGGTAATGGATTTAAGATGAAAGAGGGTAGATTTCAATTAGATGTTAGGAAGAAGGATGGTGAGACCCTGGCACAGGTTGCCCAGGGAAGCTGTGGATGCCCCATCCCTGGAGGTGTTCAAGGCCAGGCTGGATGAGGCTCTGAGCAACCTGGTCTAGTGGAGGGTGTCTGTGCCCATGGCAGGGGGGGTTGGAACTAGATGGTGTTTAAGGTCGCTTCCAACCCAAACCATTCTATGATTCTGCAATTCTAAGAATAAGAATATTTTGTTGACATCATTATATGACAGTTCCTGGTCCCTGATACTGCTAAATTCTACATATGCTGTGATGATATAATCTTTAACTCTGCTTTTGATTTCTTGTAGTCTGGTTTACATCCTCTCTACATTTACCAGTGAACTTTCCCTTGTGTCCATTTGTCCAGTCTTTAGTGACTTTCTTCTCTATTATCTGCTTTATGTCGTCTGTTCTTAATCAGTTTTCTCCCTCATTCCTGAGCTTCTTCAAAGTCTTCCTTGAAAAACTGAGGCTCTGCCATCCCACATTCTGTCACTATACAATCCACAGGACCTTCTCCTATATGCCTCTTTAGCTCCTATATCGAGCATGGAGGTGATCTCATGTATTTTTTTCATTTTAAATTTCTGTTCAGTCGATTTAATTTTCTTTCCTTTACAACCAGTTTCTCTCAATGTCTTCACTTTGTTTATTTTTCCCTTTCTTCAGTCCCATCTAATCTTTTCAAAATAGACCAGTTAAATTAATTTTCCTTTCCAACCCAAACCATTCTATGATTCTATGATTCTATGAATTTTCTTCAGCTGCTGTTCTAGTCATATCATCTTTTAATAGCTCTACATGGGTTCCACATCCCCTTCCATGATCTTTCCTTGCACTTAATGATGGCATCATTCTGTAAATTCAAAAGCCTTGCATTTAGTAAACTACAACCAATTTGTAGTCTATAAAGAAAAGGCTGAATGATAAAAAAAGGATTAAGATCTGGGGAGTATGTACTTAGCAATGAAAAAATAATAACAAAAAATAATTAGATTCAGCCAAAATTAGTATACACTTGTCCGGTATATTTAATTGTGCTTTTGTCTGTATCCCACAGAACTGTCTTATATGAGTGCTGTCCTGGCTATATGAAGATGGATGGTATGAGAGGGTGTCCTGCAGGTACAAGCTTATTTTCATATGGATGAGTCAGTATGTGAGAAATGCTACAACGCAGGAGACTTTCAAAGGTGGTTGTCGGTTTTGACTCTGGCTGAGAGTCAAACACTACACAGCCATTCACTCACCCTTCCCCTGCCCCCTTCCTAGGGACAAGGGAGGGAATTAAAGGGGGAAAGGGAAAAGAGACTCATTGGTTGGTATAAGAACAATTTAACAACTAAACTACAATAATATTGAAAATAATAATAATAATAATAATAATAATAGTAATATATACAAATGAGTGATACACAGTGATAGTGCTCACCAGCTGATGACCAAAGCTCAGCCCATTCCTGGCTAATGATTCTGGAGCAGGGAGAGTGCCGGAACTGAGATAAGAGCCTGAGTGTCTGAGAGAACAAGATAACCCTAAGAGAGGGGAAACTCAGAGGGAGGCAACCTGGAGCAAGAGAGCACTTCTAGACAGAGCCTCATCTGTATACCGGGCATGACGTGCATGTTATGGAATATACCATTGGCCAATTTGGGTCTCAATCCTAAACCTAAGATTGAATCCTAGGCTAGTAATTGGGGCTGTGCTCCCTCCCAGCTGCTCCTGAACCCGTAGACACTGGCACAGCAAAGAAGCTGAAAATTCTTTGACTGTCCTGGCGACAACTATAACATCAGTATGTTAACAGCCTTCTTAGTACAAATCTGAGAAAATAGCCTCTTACTAGCTACTATTGAAGAGAGTTAACTCTCTCTCAGCTGAAACCAAGACAGTGGTCATCTTGAGAAATGATTGCCTGTTTCTAAGATTTACTGTCTGAGAATACAGTTTTGTTTGCATACAGCCGGCAGAGGTAAAAATCATCTGGCACTGAAACTGATCATGCAGTTTAAGTTGTATTTCCCAGCTCCTTCCAGTTGCTAGATTGGAGAGGAACTGTGATGTTTTCAGTTCCCAAAGCTGCCAAAGAAGAACCTTTATTCCTATTCCCAGCACACCCCACAATAACCTAAAGCATAACAGTGAGGTCAGAAGCTCAGGACACAAGGTGTGGCATATCTAAATTCTGTTTATTCCTGTTCCTGAGAAGCCTTGAATCTTATTTACTAAAAGAGTGTTACAGGCTTTAAATAAACTAAGTGGGAGTGAAAATGAAGACAGGAATTCTTGATTTCTCCTATTTGTGCTATTCTGTTTTGCACAAATAAAATTAATTGCAGCAAGGAAGAATAATCTGAGAATTAATATATTTTATAACTTTAGATTCCTATATCCTAACTAATCCTTCTACGTTCAGAAATGCAGTTAGGCATATCCAAGGCAGAGTTCAGTTTGTTTAGATAAATTGATCTCACTTTAAATGTTTACATTAGGATGAGGTCAGTCACTCTAGAATTGCCCGTTCCTCTCCGTGACCATAAAAAGAGCCAAGAACAACTAGCTCACATGCAGATGCCTCACTTCTAGATGACTAGAACTAGGAGACATTAATCCTGTTCTCATGTAGCGGTGTTTTAACTGTGAGAATATGGCCATTCTTGCTCCCTGTATGAATCAGTATATGTACAAACCACACACTGGAAGAAGAGCAAGAGGCTTCACAAGAAGAATTCCGGTCAACCATGAGCAAATGAGACCCACTCCATCAAAATTTTTGTGATTATAGATGGAATTTACTCCTCTCTTCCATGAATATTCTTCTATTTCAGGGTGGGTTAGCACAAAACAGGACAACGCTTCTAAAGAAAATATTACAGTATTTTGTTTTGTTTGATCTAATTTTTCATTAAGCAAACCAAAAAAATAAACAACATGCAGATACATTTGGGTGGTTTTTGAGTATGTTGACAATGGAATTTTGAGTCCAAGCATGTTGTTTTAATATTGACATAAACAGTTTCAGAAAAGCAATACTATTGTCCTACCAAAAGAAACAAAGCAGATTTGATTGTGAGAAATTGGATGACTAAAGAGTTTACAGTATTCTTATCTCATGTTGATTTTAGTGGCTCCTATTGATCATGTATATGGTACACTTGGTATTGTGGGAGCTACCTCCACACAGCATTACTCTGACATATCAAGGCTGAGAGAAGAGATTGAGGGACGAGGATCATTCACTTTCTTTGCACCAAGCAATGAAGCCTGGGAGCAATTAGATTCAGTAAGTGTGTGCATGTGTGTGTGTGCATGTGTTAAAGTGTGTTTCTCTTTCAGTTAATGCTGTTTTACCTGCAACAGCTAGTCTATGATAAGGTAGATCAGAAACAATATTGATATTTTAGATATAAGAGGATATTACACAAGTTATAATATAATTTACATGTTTAAGATGCACTGCTGAAGCTAGGGAGTCTGAATTTATCTTCAGGAATACTAAGCAACTGTGTTTCTTATTTAAGCACTTGCATGACAAATATTAATATTGTTAGTGTTATTAGCTCCTCAAATGACTTGTCTGTGATGACACCTCTTGTCTTGCATTTGTGAGTGAATCAGACTAAAGCGTCATTTAAGGAGAGCCAGATTGATAGGTATCACAGTTGTATCTCCTAACAGAAAATATGTCCATTGTTAAATATATTGAAAGCATATGTTAAAGTAAAGCAATATGTATGTCTTTCCAACTGGAAGAATGTTGTGAAGCTTCTAATTAGTTAAATTCTTTTCTTCTTCAGGAAATTCACAGGAATTTGGTTGACAATGTAAATATTGAACTTTATAACGCTCTCCACCACCACATGGTAAACAAGCGCATGTTGACAAAAGATCTTAAGAATGGTATGACTCTGGTGTCTATGTATAATGACCAGAAATTGCTTATTAACCATTATCCTAATGGGGTAAGTTTAGTCTCCTTTTTTTTCCCCAAATATAATTATTTAGTTATAGCCATTACTCTTTAATTTCCTTCCATAACTAATAAAATGGGTTATAGAAAGTTTAACATCTAGCAAGTCATTTACCACTGAAAAAAGGAAATAAATTTTCTCTTGAATAAATTTTGTCTGCTGTGTAGACTAATAATGAAGAAAGAATTAATGATCATGTGCTGTTTGCTGTTTTAAATCAAAGTTCAAATGAGAATGAGCTTTCTTCCTAATAGACAAAGCCTTTTGTGGCCAAAATATATTATTGTAATAAATCTAAGAGCAAAATTTACTATTAATCTTAATGTGTTTAGAAAACAATAACAAATCAGATCTCTTATTTGAATTGGAGTGCATGGTAGATGCGTTTAAGATTGTAGTGGACACACATCCATAATTTGGCTGGAAAAAAAATTAAAATTATTTATATAAATGCTAGAAATCTCTCAGTCAAGTCAGTCCTCTTTGTTGCCTTAAATGCATTGAAGTGTTTATGTTAGACTATAGTTTACATCAGTAAAAAACAATACAGTCACCATATTAACCAGATATGGTAAACAAATCTGAATAATTGCAATAAAGAATAAAACATGACTATGAAATCAGTGTAGTCTGAATAAATCTGCTGCTAGCTTTCCAGAAGCTTAGTCAGCCTTTCAAGTCTTACAAGGTTCTACTTAAAATTTAAAATAAAAATTGAAAGAACAAAAGCGAATACATAATATACAGTACATACGTTGCCAATCTGTAAGAATGAGATTCCAAGTCCATGATCAAATTAACACTTAATCTTCTACTGCTTGATTCTTCAAATATAGGTCGTTACTGTTAACTGTGCCAGGATCATCCATGGCAACCAGGTTGCTACCAATGGTGTTGTTCATGTCATTGATCGTGTCCTGACTGCTGTTGGAAATACCATTCAAGATTTCATTGAAGTTGAGGATGATCTTTCATCTCTTAGAGTAAGTGGACAAAAATAAAAATGCTTCTCTGGTCTTTTAGTTTTTTCTTCTTTCTTTTCTATTTGTGTATGATACCTGAAAGCAAGAAGGGTTAGTTCGGTAAGAGACAGAAATAATTTAAATTAAGAACTCCAGTTAATATTGCAAATCCGGCTATATAAAAAAACAAAGTATATTTTACATAGTAAGTCTGCTTCTGCACTTTTGTGGATCAAATAAGACCACATCAATAGGAAAGAATGTGTTCCTATACATAAAAAAGCATGTCTTCTCTTCAAGCACTGAGGTAATGAAATGTGTGAGCATAAACTACAGAGTCTGGTGCTAGATAAATAAGAATAATTTCAAAATGGATTATATAAAATGTTAAAAAACCCTAATAAATTCCAGAACCTAACTCTCAGCAAGTTTCAGAACACCAGTAGATACATATAGGAAGGAATTTTCTTGCAGAGAGGAAGCAGGTTTTTTTCTGTCCAAGTTTCTAACTTCTCCTTCTTCTAGAAGAGGTGTCTGCTTAGTGTAACGGAATTTCATGTTGCACATGTTTCAAAAATATGCCATGGTTTTGCAGATAGCTGTTGTCCTGTTCCCTCCTCCATCTCCTCAATAAATAAAAAAATATATATTTTTAATGTGGAGGCATAAAGGTGGAGAAGACCCTGTGAAGAAGACCCTGTGAATACCTCAAATACAGTCCATGACAGTTACAGGCCACCACATCATTTAATCCCTTTAAAAAAAGTAATATAAAAGACAATCCTTTCTAGTCTCCAGTTGAAAAAGAAGCCCTCTCCTCCTTTTTTTTTTTTCTTGTGCACTTTTCTTGTTATCTCTTCCGAGTTTAACTTTTGAACAATCTAAGCAGACTTTTTCCACCTAATCCTAGATAAGGTTTTACCTATTCCTTTTATATTAACTTGCATATCTCCCTAAATCTGAAAAACAAAACAAAAACCCAAACCTTACTGATTTCCTGGATACATGCTGGCATCATGTTTGTTTTTCTTTCAGCTGCATCACATTGCATTCTATCTTTCTGACTTTTCAAACTGTGAAGTCCCTGTTTATAGCACATACACCTGCTAATTCCTGTGTGCATGTATCTGCACTTCATACTACTTTAATGACTTTGGCTCCACAAGCAAGTGAGCTAATGAAAACAGTAAACAAAATCAGCTCTGAGGCTCTAATATGACATTTCTTTTAGGATGGTTATTCCCATCTTCCAGTTTGACAGTTTCATATACACTTATCTTTCTTTCTTAGCTTGAGCAAATATTTCATATTTAACTGAGCAAATTCTTTACTCAAGTCCAGATGTGTTTAATTTTACATATTCTTTTTCTAGAAAATCTGTTCATAATTTATATTGGCGTACTCTGTCATATTACCCTTTTAATCCATCATATATTCTCACAATATCTTTCATTACTTTTTCTGCATTGTTCTTTTTCTTCAGTCTTTGATTCTAATGAGAACAGGTTGCAGCCACCAAAGAAATACATACTGTTATATTATTCACTTATAAGATTAAGCCAATAATGGAAATACACAGATTGTGAGGTTGTACAGAGGAGATTTATGAGCAAGTTGAGATTTATTTAAGGAATAAAATGGAAATTATATATATTTTTTTAAATATTGAAATGGGTTTTATTTATTTCAGACTGCTTACCACTTCTTCATTACTAGAGAGTAGAGAATTTTTCATCAATTTTAACTTTCCTTTTTTGATGTCCAGAACCGAGTAATAATTTAGGAATTAAAAACCTGGAGATAACTTTTCCTGGCTTCAAAGCCTGAGATGAATAGGATAGGATAGAACATTTCAGTTGGAATGGACCTACAATGATTACCTGGTCCAACTGCCTGACCACTTTAGGGCTGACCAAAAGTTAAAGCATGTTATTAAGGGCATTGTCCAAATGCCTCTTAAACACTGACAGGCTTGGGACATCGAGCACCTCTCTAGGAAGCCTGTTCCAGTGTTTGACCACCCTCTCTGTAAAGAAATGCTTCCTAACGTCCAGTCTAAACCTCCCCTGGTGCAGCTTTGAACTGTTCCCACATGTCCTGTCACTGGATACCAAGGAGAAGAGCTCAGCACCACCATCTCCACTTTCCCTCCTCAGGAAGCTGTAGAGAGCAATGAGGTCACCCCTCAGCCTCCTGTTGTGACTCAAAACCTCTTCCTTGTATTCGATAAAATTAGTCTGTAAAATGTACCTGTAATACATTTTTGTTTCTTCAGGGACAAATTGTTAGCTTTGACAGACTACTGCTTTGATCTAATTTGTCAAAACCTGTATGTTCACATTTCTCTTTTAAGAATTCAGGCCGTAATAATAAAATTGTCTGCCCTTTTGTCACCTCTATAGAAATTTATTGATTACTGTGTGCTAAATTAAGGAGGTAACTTGATATATCAAGACATATTTTTCCCACAAATTTAATTTTCTGTTCCTTTTTGTCAATTTTTTTTTTCATTTTTCTACAACACTGATCTCAGTCTAGCATTAAAGTACCCGTGAGCACCAGTCGAAACTAGGCAGATAATGTATTTTAGTAATGTTTTAAATAAGCAGCATTAAAAACCAAATTTATTTTCTAGGCTGCTGCCATCACATCAGATGTCTTGGATGTTCTTGGAAAGCCTGGTCATTACACACTGTTTGCTCCTACTAATGAAGCTTTTGAGAGACTTCCAAGGGGAGTCTTAGAAAGGATCATGGGTGACAAGGTGGCTTCTGAAGGTATATAACTTTTTTTTTTTTTGCAAATGACAAATACAGGTGAGTAGATGAGGAGGTAGAAACTACATTGTCCTAGTAGCTCTGAAATCGAGGACCTGTACTTTCGTACATATAGGAGGAATTATTTCATCTGTGTCTGATTTTTGCAGTTACCCAAGGCTTCAAATTCTCTGAAAACTTAGTTTCCAAAACAGTTTAAAGGAAACTGTGAAAATGTAGGCACACTGATGCTTCTAATAGTTCAGCTGCATAGTCCCAGTAGAGACCCTGCCTCTAGAAATGCAGGGCTATCTGAATGTGAGATTCTCTCACAGCTTTCTTATGAACAGCTTTTTCACACAAAAAGGACATGTTCTTGTAAAAGGCAAGTTCTGCCCCGCAGGTTGAAATAAATTTGTACTATATATCTTGAAAAAGTAAACAGTCAACACACTCATTCTTCTGAGAACTACAGTAAAACTAAATAATAACTGAATCAATCTATGAACAGTAATGTAACGGACCACGAAGAAATGGAAGGCTGCATTTCCATTCTCATATATGAGCTCCACTGCACTAAAAAAGTTCTCTACCATTTCATTATAGCCTGATTAAGTCACTGTGAAGTATCTCAATGGAGAATGGTGAAAAAAGAGAGCTGGGCTAATTTTAGTGTGAGACAATGAAGAAAAATGGAATCTTGCACACTGTAGAGGATAATAACACTGAATCTCACTTACATAGTAAGGGATAACAAAATATAAATCTGGGTCTGACCTTGCACAACCTATAGAGTTTTATACTCAGAGGTCCATTTGGAGCATATAATCTGCAGTCACTGAGTTATATACTCTGTTACATGCAGGTCACAGCATAACTAGTATAGTTTTCATAGTAAAAGGGATGCCAAAGTTTTTTGACCATAGATGTTGTTCAGAGGCCTATATTATAAATGCTCATATAAAAAACTTTCAGTAAAGCATCTACAAGCAAACAAGCAAATATGCTAGACAAGCTAGTAAACTATTAAAAATAGTGTGTACGTAATAATTTATCCCACACCTAAATGTGAATTATATATATATAGTTATATATGTACAAATATGTGTCCAAACACCCATACAGGAACTTCCTGCTCTTTTCTCTACAGCTCTTGTGAAGTTCCATATTTTAAATACTCTCCAGTGCTCTGAAGCCATCACAGGTGGAGCTGTCTATGAAACCTTGGAAGGAAACACAGTTGAAGTTGGTTGTGATGGTGAAAGTCTGACTGTGAATGGAGTGAAGATGGTCAAACGCAAAGACATAGTGACAAGCAATGGCGTTATCCACCTCATTGATGAAGTGTTAATTCCTGATTCTGGTCAGTGATGTGTATGAAAAACTTCTTACTCTGGAAGATGTTTTCTACAATCTTAACTAGATTCCCTCAGATATATTGTTATGGATAAGCATGAAGAATCCAAATCAGGAAAAGGAATAAATTATGTGTTAAAATAACTTTTCTTATTCCTTTATTTGCAGCCAAGCAAGTTATTGAGCTTGGGGGTGCCCAGCAGACTACTTTTACAGACCTGGTGGCACAGCTGGGACTGGCATCTTCTCTAAGACCAGAAGGACAATACACTCTCCTGGCACCTCTGAATGGTGCCTTCTCAGGTTAGTAACCTTAAAAGATTATGCTCGGAAAGTCAAAATAAACGAGGATATATGCTCCCTTGACGGTTTCCCAAATAAGCCCCAGTACTTGATCTAAGTCCCAAGGAAACAGAGCCACAGAGGAACAGAGATACTTCCTCTTCTCAAAAAACATACCATGCAGAAAGACAAAACAAGCCTAAGCACCTGGCTTCACAGCTTGTTTTTAGTGGTATCAGCTGTTAATGGAAATAGCATCCCTAAAGTAAGATACAAAACATGCACAGATAGATTGTGGGAAAGGAAAGATATTAATAGACTGCCAGTTCCCTTAATCTTTGCATTACTTGCATTAGATTCACAGCTCCTTTATTTCCAAAAACATATACAAGAAGGTTGGTATTTTCCAGTACATTAAAGCAGAGAGAAAGTGATACAAATATATTATCAACCAGGTATTTGCATATTTGCAGAAGTGACCACGTGGGCATCCTGCTCTTCCCCCAAGAATTCAAGTGTTAACTCACCACCATAGAAGCAAATTTGTGAAGGTTTTAAGGTGTACATACAGAAAAGTTGTAATAAGGACTTCAGCAGTAATTCAGAAGATGGAGGAGGCCCACATATAAATCATCTGCCATATTATTTATAATAATTAATCAGGCCTATGTCAAAAGTTCATGTCTGAATTTAAGGAACGGCAAATTGCAGAAACTACCTAACAGTTAATTTTCTATGTACACAGATCTACCCCAGACTTAACTCAAGCATTTCAAAGAAAGATTCAGTATTTCCGTGGTCTTTTAATATTGTATCTACAGTTAACCTTATCTGAATGAAAATTCACTATATAAATCACTATATATTAACATCTAAATGGCTTTGTAGATGACACCTTAAGGATGGATCAACGCCTTCTTAAAACGATCTTGCAAAATCACATCATAAAAGTGAAAGTTGGGCTCAATGAACTGTACAATGGACAAGAGCTGGAGACAATTGGAGGAAAGCTGCTTAGAGTCTTTGTGTATCGCACAGTAAGTGAATGGAGCTTTTATGTATCCTAGCTATGAAAATGAGGAGTCATGAAAGAATGAAAGCTGAATGAAAACTCCTACATTTACCATTACAACTAACTAGCAAAAATCTTTAAGCTTTTAAGCTAGGAAAAAATGAAAATCTGATCCTTGTGGATAGGAAGACTTTATGAAAAAGAAGCAGGATTCCAGATTTGGGACTCCATTAATTATAAATTTTTAAAGCTAATTGTTCGAACTAACTAAGAACATTCTCAGGGGAAACAAAAAGAAATCAAGTTTGGAAATATTTACATCATATTAATTTACTCCAGATTTTGCTACTTTTGCTTTCTCAAGCATTACCAGATTTCCTGGCAGGAACACACAATTTGACAATAGGAGATACATATGAACATTAAATTTAGGAGCCTCCTTGAAGTATGCATCCATCTCATTTTGTCAAATGTATCACTGTGTGAACACTTACAGTTGTTTCTCTTTTAATCAGGCTGTATGTGTTGAAAATTCATGCATGGTGAGAGGAAGTAAAGAAGGAAGGAATGGTTTTATTCACATCTTCAGGCAGATCATCAATCCAGCAGAAAAGACTTTGCATGAAATGCTGAGAAATGATAAGCGTTTTAGGTGAGTAGCAGTTTTGACAGCACCAAGATTTTCTTACAGAGGACAACTATGTATATGGCACAGCTGCTCTGAGAAATAGTTGTGGACTATGGGTTGTTGGATTTTGGGAGGCAGGGAAAGGGTTATTACCTCCTTAAAAAAACAAGAGGCAGGGGGAGTGAAGAAAAAAAAGGAAAAGTGTTCAGCTGTATGCTGAAAGGGCTCCCAGACTTTATGCAAGAATCGTTGCTTATGGCACACAAGAGTCAGTAAGACACCAGAATGAGTGAAATAAGAGGACAAAAGAGATTAGATGATACCTCCAGAGCTATAAGTCCTGTGGAGTCTGAAGGTTTAATTAGCAAACAGGTACAATTCCATATGGGTGCGGCATGATTGCATACCCTTCCAGTATTTATTTTGGTCCTCTTCCTGCAAGTATCTCAATACTTCTAGAGAGAGAACCTACCCTTGGTATCCTCCCTTCATCTCTTTGATTTCTGGGGTTTTCAGTCAATGAATTCTGCTCTGATCCAGGCTGACAATATTATTTTTTTTTCTCAAATCTTTTTTTCTTCAGTCTGCTACTCTTAGGATTGTCATTTTTTTTTCTTCTTCTTCTCCCCCCCCCCCCCCCTTTTTTTACCCTACACTGTCTTTGTTCCTGGGAAATAGTGAGAATGTTTGAAGACTGATGTGTATTATCAGGAAAAATGAGGGAACTAAGTGCCTGGACCCAAGTATAGTTACTACATGTCAACAGAATGTATTTGTGTTTTATATGTTTGTTGCAAACAGTGTTTTCCTCAGTCTCGTGAAAGCTGCAGATTTAGATGATGTTCTGTCACGTCCTGGAGAGTGGACTCTGTTTGTTCCAACTAATGATGCCTTTAAAGGCTTGACTGATGACGATAAGGATATATTGATAAGTAAGTAACGTAAGAAAACTAGAAATATAAGCAAAGGCAAAATCAATGGGAAAGGTGCCTAGTGTATTTCTTACACAAAAGATGTCTTATAACACAGTTTACCTTTTGCATAGGTCATACGACTCCCCTAAATTAATTCCTTCTTAGAGGATAGAGAAAATATCTCTTTGGAGAAAAGCATCCAACCTGAATTAAAATTTAAATTTAAATCCATGATATATCATTACAAGGTGTAGTTACCTTAAAATCTGCATTCATTTAAGTAGCTTCAACTTTTCATCATTCAGCCCTGCTGTAGATTTTTCTAAACTGAAAAGTCTCTTCTATGACATTTCTTTTCTAGTTATGACCATTGCATTAAAAGATATGTATTATTTACTTACCTATCTTTCCTTTCCTTTCTCTTCTCTACCTCTATCCGGTGATTTCTGACATCACCTGTGCTCTACAAGTCAAATATTGAATATCTATTGCTAAATGCCCATTTATGTAATTTCTTTCCATCTTACACTTTTAAACTCTGGAATTATATAGAATTTTCACAAGATTTAAACGTAGTTTCTTTAATGTTGTGCTTTATTTCTGTAAGAGAAGAAATGCACAGTGAATGCTTCAAATGTCCTGCAGATTTTCCCACTAGAGGGGTAGCCTGTGGCCACAGCACTATAAATATTTTTCGTTTATTTGAGAGTAATGTGAATCTGGTCTGTGCACAAGTGCAGGAAGAGTGATTGCCTTGAATCCCACATCCGGAAGGTCAGTCACATTTTCCATTCCTGCACTTTTCAGATCAAAGTTCGAAGACATGAAGCAAAATTCAAAAAGTCCATCTTGGAGAAGTGATAAGCAGCAACCCCAGTTCTATGCAGCCTTTAACTCACTAATGAGGCGCTGTGAATTTGAATTATCTCTTCAACCATTTAAAGTTTAGTAGTCTAAATTACCTCCTAGTGTGGTGTGTTTCTGGTGACTAACAGTAAATTAACAGATAGCCTAAATGACTAACATTAAATAGCTATAAAATGACATGAATCTTTTCTCAAGCCTGTGAACTGAAGTAGCTGGGTAAATGCTATTGTTCTGTTTTCATTGGACTATACAGTAATTTTTTTAACTAAGATTGAGTTTGTCAGGTCTATTATTTTTGTCTTCAGTTCTCAACTTGACATTGGCCCATGTCATGTTGGATTATTCTACAGTTAAGAATACAATTATATTTGCCATTTTTCTTTTCAAATGGCTTTATATGCTATCTTTTCCTATCATTGTGACTCAGTTTCTACTTAATTTCCTTGGCAGATGAGATTTTAATTTACCCTCCCCCATCGTGGTTCTTTTTTTCAGCAGAATGTCCATTTTTTTGTGTCAGATTATTTTCTGGAATTCTCTTTTGGCTTTCTTTAAAGAAGTTATGTTGCTTTCTCCATAAAAAATTAAGCCTTAAAATATGTAATTTTAAAATGAATATAAGGAAATAATTTGTATAGCTGTAAGAAAGACATAAAACAAAGATTATTTTAACCAGTAACCATTGTGGCATAGAAAAAATGTAACCTGATAGTTTGTGAAAACAGTTTTTGAATGGCCATGTTTAGGCCTTATATATAACTTGACACTATCTATGAATGGTCCAGTTACAAAATCTCAGTGCTAATTTTAGTAGGAGGAAAGGGAGCATTTAATTGCATTTCAGCAGTAAAGTGAATTGCAGTAATATCAGTGATCAAAGAAAAAAACAGAAAAAGGAAAATGTTCATGGAAAGAGACACCAGGAAACAATTATATCCAGATAGTATTTCCATTACAGTTTCATCAAGGCTGAAACTCATAGTAAGTCAATATCAGCGTGTAATGCTAATATGAAGCTTGTGACAAAATGGTCAATATTGCATGTAATGGAAAGTAGATGTGTTTTTAAAATGCTCTGCTTGGTATGCTGTTTTCTGGGGAGGATGTGTGTATTCCTGCAGTCCACCCTATTACTCTGAGCCTCCACAGACCCAGAGCACCAGAGAGCCCTGTCAGGACACTAACTTGGACTCAGAATCCCTTTGCTTTTTAAGACTGTCTTGAAAATTGTGGCTTTTTTTCTTTTCTTCCCAAATAGGAAGGTCAAACTTTGAAATATGGGAATCATCCCTAAAGCAGTGTTTTTTCCCCTTTTCCAACTTCTCCAAGCTGTTTTTTCCCCTTTATCATCACTTTAACAGATTCAAATTGTATGTCTTCATGGTAGTTTCTCTTGCACTGTACTTAATTCAGGCTCAAGCCTGTGTGAATCCTTAGAATTTCCAGCAAGAACTATCCGTTACCATTTTATTTTTACTCCTACTTTTCTTTTTAAATAGGAGACAAAAATGCCCTCAGGAATATCCTTCTTTACCACTTGACACAAGGAGTTTTCATTGGGAGTGGCTTTGAGCCTGGTGTGACAAATATTCTTAAAACAATCCAAGGAGGGAAACTCTACTTGAAAACAGTTAAGTGTTGAAAAAGAAATCTCCCTGACACAGCCTTGTAACAGGAATTTGGCATTCCATGCCTATCCACACTACAGAATGGAATGTGTTTGTCTGAACGGGGTTTGGGGTTGTTTTTTAATGTCTCTGGTAACTTGTGTTCTCTTTTTGTCCTTTACCAGGTAAATGATACTCTTCTGGTTAATGAACTGAAATCAAGAGAATCTGATCTCATGGCCACAAATGGTGTCATTCATGTTATTGATAAACTCCTCTATCCAGCAGGTGAGAGTTCATGGAATTTGTACACACTGTTCTGAATCTGTTTACGTGTTATGTAGATTCAATAACTTTAAAAAGTTAATACCTTTAAAGGGACAATTTCTATGTGGAATATGAAAATTAACCTCACTACTTATTTTGTGGAAGAACCTTGCTTGAAATCATGCCAACTCTGAAAGTCCATGAAAGTCAAGTATATGGAAGACAAGATGCCATAGGCTACGTTTTCCACTAATATGAAAGAATGTGTATGTACAAGCACATGCTTGTGTGAGTGTTTGAGAGTGATTACATCTCCTAATCACTGTCAATGAAAGTAAAATGAACACAGAGGTATGTTTCCTCTTACATGTCTGTTTCTTTTGTCAGATTTGCCTGTTGGAAATGATCAGTTGCTCACAATCCTGAAGAAGTTGATTAAGTACATTCAAATTAAGGTACTCTTTAAATAATGATCCCTTGACGTTTTTGGCAGGATCCGTGAAACCATGTGCATTACAATTCATAAGTGATTCTCTGTTCCCTTGTTTCTTCAGCAAACACATTCAATAGCTCCCAGTTACCCAAAATATAATCAGGAATGATACGCTGCACTCAATAATTAGAATTTATGTTTTTCAACACCAAATAATTGTAGAATATTTGCATTTGATAACTCCAATGTGAACTGGACCAAATCTCCTCTTTGCTTTGGACACACTTTATCGCTCAAGCAAAATAAATCACTTCTAAATCCTTAAGGCAATCCCTCTTTGAAAGAAGTGGTCAAATTTCTATGTCGTTAAACCCACCAGCCTCAATAGCCTGTGTAGAAAAATAGGTATCCTTAATCTATCTCAACTATCCTCTTGAGATTACATTCTCCCTCAACAATGAATGAGACGATCCAGGCAAATAACATAGCCTAAAATTTAGATCAATGAAGCAGCAAATCCTGCCCACACTCATTAGGAAGCTAGAAGGCATGAGCTTTTTCTTTTAAATTTTAAAATTACTTTTTTTTGTATTTATAGTTTGTTCGTGACAGTACCTTCAAAGAGATCCCGCTGACGTTTTACAGTAAGTTCATTTTCAATACTTCCAGATGGATTTGAGATTGCTTTTTAAAAGTCACCAATTCCTGTCTTGAACTGTAGATCTCTTTTTTCAATCCAAATGAAAGCAATTTCTGGGAAAGTAAGATCTGCCAATGAAGCACAGGAAGAGAAAGACTCAGAGTAGAGTGTTTCTGGCTGTTGTGCTACTGTATGTATTTCTTTCCCTTTCCAGATGTGTGACAGGAAAGTAACCCTGAAGTAAACTGTTCAGACTCTTTGGGATAAGCAAGATACATATGGAAAAGATTGGTTTTCAGTTTTTAGCCAAGGTTCAGTGCTTGGTGCATAGCAGAGTTGTACTGCTTCTCTCTCCAAGACACAGTGTTATACTATACTGACTCTCCAAGATGTAGCATTGACCAAACTCTGTACTGAGATGCTCTGTTTTCCATAAATGCTTCCAGAGGGAGAGAGTGTACCTGCCTCACATGCGTGCAACTATGAGGCTTGTGTGTTCCAACCATTTTCTCTTTAGGGAGTAAATGTAAAAAAGGAATCTTTTTGCTCTCTTGCAGCCTTTCTCAGGGTTTGCATTTAGCTTCTGCATATAAAGTAGGATCTGTTGAAGCAAACTGTTAGAAGACAAAGATCAGCTTTGGCTTGTGAGGGAACATAAATTTAGGCAGATTATTAAATATCTATAGGATCCTACCCACATTTCTCTGTAGAAATGGAGACCATCACATTAGACTTTTGAAAATTGAGAATGGACATATTGAATTTAAAAGACTCTTGGGGAAAAAAAAAAAAAAAATCTGTCTTGATGGCAAGTTGAATATGAGTCAACAGTGTGCCCTGTCAGCCAAAAGGGCCAACCGTGTCCTGGGTTTTATCAAGCACATCAGCCAGCTGGTAGAGGCGGGTGACTGTCCCACTCTATACCACAGTGGTGTGACCTCACCTTGAGTCCTGTGTGCAGTTTTGGCATCTCAATATAAAAAGGATATCAAACTATTATGAAGTGCAGAGGAGTGCTACAAAGATGGGGAAAGATCTCAAGGGCAAGAATTACGAGGAGTGGCTGAGATCACTTGGTTTGTTCAGCTCAGAAAAGAGGAGGCTGAGGGCTGACCTCACTGCAGTGTGCAACTTCCTCAAGGGGAACAGCAGAGGGGGAGGTGCTGCTCTCCTCTCTCTGGTGACCAGCAATACAACATGAGGAAATGGAATGAAGCTATGTCAGGGGAAGTTCAGACTGGACATTAGGAAAAGGTTCTTCACTGAGAGGGTGGTCGGTCACTGGAACAGGCTCCCCAGGGAAGTGGTCACAGCATCAAGCCTGTCAGAGTTCAAGGAGCATCTGAAAAAAGGATATCAATCATATAGTCTAGTTTTAGGTAGTTCTGTGAGGAGCAGGGAGTTGGACTTGATGGTCCTTATGGGTCCCTTCCAACTCAAAATATTCTGTGATTCTGTGATTTTTATCTCCTATGGCCAGTGAGAGCAGCATGAGAAGAAATGCTTGTAAACTGAAGCAAGGCAGGTCAATGTCAGATGTCAAGAAGGTTGTAATGTTGATTTAGTTGGATGCAGGAACAGGAAGGCTGTGAACTCTACCAGTGAAGGCTTCTCTATTAGTGAATGGATGCGAGTCAAATAATGAACTATCAGAGACGTTCAATGAGTACTTTAGTCTCTGTTGTAGAAGGACAGTTTGATCTCCCAAGAACACCCCAGTGTTGCTCTCCATGACGTTCTATTAAGTGTAAGAATAGTTCTGAATGTCCCCTAATGAAGAGGGCGAGATTTGAATTAAAGATATGTCAAGGAATTGTGCTAATCTTTACGCAGGGAATTATATGAGCCATTATTCTTATGTACCTTACATTATCATGGGTTTCATGACCAGGGGGTTCCATAGGGCACAAAGGCAAAAAGCAGGCCAGAGGCTCTGTCTGTGGGTAACTTGTATACACCAACATTTAGCAACTAGAACCAAGATCCATACTCTAGATCCCTTTGAGTTACTTTTCCATCCATTAATGTCTGTGTTTTTATCTACATCTTTATGACCAGACCAAATCTAACTGATCATTACCATAAAAAACCTGTAAGAATGGAATGTACTTTATATTCCATTTTCTGTACTTTCAGAAATTAACATAATTGAAAGCAACGTCAAGCCCATCATCAGAAAGGAAGGTAAACGAGGCCCTTAGTGTATATATATTTCTGTATATGTTGGTATACATACACAGAATATATATTGTATATATTTAACAGGAGGTATTTTGTACATAACAACTCCACAATGTTTAGCACTTTGCTGGAAAAGCAAAGATACAAATATTGCAGTTAGAACTGGCTGAAATATTCTGTATAAAAAGATTTCCCATAGTTGTTCTCCCCAAATCGACTTTCTTCTTTTTCTGCAAGCATTTAAAAAATGTTTTTACATAATCTTCTTTCAAACCATTTATTTTAAATGCCCTGGATATTAATTTACTTTCAATAAAAACATTTCCTGTTTTTTTAAAGTTAAAGCAGTTATTTTACAAAATGAAATAAATTGTTTCTTTTACTTTGAAGAAAAATAAATCAGTTCATTTTTTTTCAATCTGTTTTCAATCAGTTCTAAATACCAATATTTGTCAGATGCCTGGAGTGGACAATTTAACCCAAACATTCTGTTTCAATTTCTTTAGGCAAAAGCATGATTTAAAGGTTAATAGTAGGACTGAAGAGAAACAAAAGTGGGGCTGGGACTGTCAAACTCAGTTGTGGTTCATAACTTAAGAAAAACACCTATTGGTACCACTAGACCAGGTACAATGCTAATAAGCTCCAGTTTCCCATTTAAATAAAAATACTCAAGGGGAATCTTGTTGAGCTCAGCTGAGGAGAAAGGCAGTTAGAAATGTCTTGCAAAAATTTTATCCAGACTGTTTAATCGTTGTTTCTGGGAGGACTTCCTCCCAGCAGAAGTGGCATGAGCTTTCCTTTTCAGCAGCTTGTCTGTGCTTCATCCCACCTACATTAAACAAGTTCTAGCATATATACTGATTTTTATTGCTTAGTCTCCATCATTAAATCAGATCCACAGAGCAATATAAATGAGCAGATGATTCCATATGGTAATTAATCCAAGATATTTTAGAAATCTTCCTATGATGATGGTGAATCATGCTCTGAAGGTACCTGTTCTTCGATGTTCTATGGCAAATGTACAACTACGTGCAATTCACCAGAGAGAGAGAAAAAAAATTTATAAGTTAGTGAGCATTCAGGAGTTACTTCTTTCCATTGCCAGTACAGTGTTTCTGCTCTGGGACACACTCCAGGGAATGATCTCTGGCCAATACAGACTTTCTGCTGATGATTCAGAAATAGACCAAATAAAGCCAATTCTGGCCCTTCTGAGCTTGCTAGTAGTAACAGCACTCCACCACCCTCAAATTGAGAGGATGATGTCTGCCCTTTTCTGTCTCAATTTTTTCTACTTGAGTTGTGCTTCCATTGTCTATACATAGGCAAGTTAAAGGGATCTGAAGAGTTAAATCTGATTGAAACCTAAATCTTAATGGATTAAATGTTCAAAGGACTGATCCTAGACTAGGCAGTATAGCAAACTATGGCTTTACCTTTTGTTTTGCATACATCTGCTGTATCGATCGCATAGAAAGGTACAGGAAATTAGAAATCTAAAAAAAAATGATAAGCATTCATAAATATACCTTTGACACGTTTCATTAATATTCATCATGTGTATCAACAGATTCTCAACATGCAAAAATGCCCTTACATTTAAAACAGAAGCAAGTGAATGAATCTTGGAAGATTTCTTCTTTAAAACATTTCGGAATGTTTTTCAGCCAGATGTTTTAGAACATAAAAGAAAAATCAATGTGTTGTTCGGCTATTTAAAACAGGGTAGATGAACAGAGCTATAATAACTGAGCATCATTATGATCCTATCATACAATCTCATCTGCAGCAAATAAATTAATTATTTAGCTCTAAAGTCATCATCAGTATACAGTCATCTTCTTCTGCAAAAATGTATGCTTGAATTTGTTACTATTGAAGGACACTCAGCCTGAATTGCACTGTTTTCAACAATTAATACCAGGCACACATATTAAAAAGCTATTGTCAAATCCTGATCATTAATTTAAAAATCAAAATCTGTGTAGTATTGACTTCTACATAAATTCGTATAAAGAAGGATTTTTAATGGATTTTTAAGGAAAGTGAGACAGATGGACTGTTATAGTCTAACTCTGATTAGGGAATAAGGGAAGTGTGTGTTAAAGCAACTTCTTAAGCAGAATATGTTGCTGTAACACTTGTTACAGAAGAACCATGTATTCCTGTTAATTGAGTGCATCAATGGTATGTTCCTAATTTTATGTTTGGATCAGCATTGTCTGTAGGGATTGCACAAATTAAGAGGTTTGGTCATTGAAATCAAGATGACCTCTGCCATGCAACTCAAAGAATGATAGCTGTTAATGCTGGCAAATATCCGTAAAGCTGTTCCAGTTGTTCTCTGAAGTTTATTCATGTTTTTTTCTTTAAGCTGACCAAGTCTTGGTAGCTTAAAAAAAAAAAAAAAAAAAGAAAAAAAGACAAATAACATCCCCCCAACTAACAAATAAAAAACCTCCAAAACAAAAAAAAATTAAAAACCCCAAAGCAACAAATAAAAAACCGCAAAACAACATAAAGGAATTCTGATTAAAAGACCTAGTTTCCTTCTGGATATCTGTACAATTAGTGGGAAATAGCATGACAAACATTTCTCTCTCTAGTTCTTTTCTAAGCTTTCACACAATGGTTTGCATGCTGATCACTTGTGGAGCAATAGCTATAAGATTCCAGCAATGCCTCAGAATAGGCTTCTTACCAACACATATAGAGGAAGACTTCCTTTCAGCTACTGAGGATCTGGTTTTTGCCTGAGACTTGTCAACAGATGTTAAAAATATCAGATAGCCAAAAATAAAAAAAAAATGTAAATGGTAAGTGTACAATAGGATCTAAATTTAAGATAGCATGGGAGGAAGTGCAAGATCATACTGCATTGCTGCAAATCGCTTCTCAGACTTAAAAAAACCTCCATTACAGTAATCTGTTTTGTTTAGGGTAGGGTAGATAATGCTAGCTTCATCTCAGCTCCGTGGAATACTATATATATTTTTATGAATATTTGTAACGTGTTGTTTTTTTCCTATGTCACAGACCCATCTATCACACAGCTCACTAAATTAATTGAAGGGGAACCTGAGTTCAAAATAGTCAGGGAAGGGGAGACAATAACTAAAGTGATTCATGGAGGTTGGTATGCTTTCAGCAACTCAATTTGTATTAGCTAAAATTTGAAACATCCACTATTCTCAGTCAATTTCTCCTTTATGTAGGTGATTCATGTGGTATGTTAGACTTCTGTTTTTAACAAGACATTCTGGAAGTCTTGTAATTTTGTTGCATCATTTCATTCTCTCTTCTCACGCATTTCAAAAAATTGGGGTTTTTGCCTAGCTATAGTCAAGACAGTGATAGAAATGCTCTGCATGCTGACGTAACATCTGTCTCTGTTAAGAATTATCTGCTGGTTTTTGTCCTTCAACCAAAAGTGTACTACGTGATTCTGTGACAGAAGGCAACTTTAACAGATAGATAAATCAGAGGTAAATTTTGCCATGTGCTTTTCTGGGGCCTTGAGAAGTTCACATCTAGGGTCCCTTAAATGAAAAACAGCGTGAGGCCATCCTAAATTTGGAGGAAACTTAGTTCCTGGTCTCCTCTGAACATTTTTATTTTTTTGTAAAATATGCTATGGTATTTCCTTGTGTACTTAAGCAAGTTTCAGCATCTCAAAAACAGTACTTGTAACACTGTTCATCCTTTGATTAATGTCTTCAATTTAAAAATCTTCGTAGAACCAATTATTAAAACATACACCAAAATCATTGATGGGCGACCTGTGGAAGTGACAGAGAAAAAAGTAACAGAAGAAAGAATTTATCAAGGTAAACCATACTTAGCAAAAGTTCATCATTACGTGCAAAAGTAACACATCTTAAATTCTGTCCTAGTGCCTAAACTGCATTTCCTGGAGAGATTAATTTTCCCTAATGCTTCCTTCTGCTTATGTATGGCTCCAATACTGTCTGTGTGTGCTACACACGCTTATACAGAAATGGCAACAATATTTTAACAGCATGCAAAACAATGAAAGCTTGTCCTTTTTTAAATGTATTTGCAAAGTGTTGCTTTTGCAAGCTTCTTGCTAACATTCAGGATGAGACTGCTTTTATTGCATTTTTTATTGCATTTTTTTAGTCTGACTTGCTTTAGAAAGAAGACTTTTTTTGGGGGGGGAGGCTGAAATTTTTGGGCTGTTTATCTGTAGGTGGGTTTCATTAGACCAAAAGCAGACCTTCAGTGTGTAGATACCTACTTTTACATGTAATCCCAGGCTCCCTTGACAATCATTTCAGAAAAAGAACTTCTCTGTTTCTTTGCAAGGAGGGGCCTTGATCGATCTTGATCAAGCAACCTGGTCTAGTGGAGGGTGTCCCTGCCCATGTCAGAAGGGTTGGAACTAGATGATCTTTAGGGTCCCTTCCAACCCAAACCATTCTATGATTCCATGATCTGACGTCCACAAGTTAGACATTTGTATTCAGTTAATGTAAGATAAAATTAATGTGCATCTGTGTCCATTGATCTTCTCCCACAGTAACCTTCAAACTCTTTGGCCAATGTCAATTGTATTTGACTTGTAACAGCGGGATTTCTTTAAGAATTCTAGAAACTTCACAGAAATTGAAAAGTGGAGTGAAGTGTATTTAAGCAGGCATAAAGTCTTTAACACATTTTGATTCCCTTGGCTAAATAGCAGTTTGAATGCTGCCATAAAAATTCTGTCTGCCAGAGCAATTGTAAGAGAAAGGCAGTGTTATAAGAACATATTGACTTAGCAGCAAGTCTAAATATTCCATTTACTTAGAAAAACTTAAAATTCAATTTAAGAAACCATTCAAGCAAGAGAGAAATAAAGAACCAGACTTAAGTTATTCTCAAGCAATTATTCACTACAATGGAAATAACTGAATGAAAGATGTTAGTGGTTTCTGAATGAACCTGTGACTATTTTTCAATACAAAATTTATGGGGGAGAAAATAAAGTACCATCTTCTCATTTTTCAAATTCAACTTTCACTAATATCCCACATAAAATGGCTAATATAATGTAAAATTACAGCGTTTCAGACCTGATATTTCCTTCTTTTCCCTCTGTAGTAGAAACTGATAAAGAATCTCAAATTTTAAGCTCTCAGATGATTAATAGCAGTAATAAAAGCAACAAAGTCTATTTATAACGGTGGATCCAGACTCTTTTTACACTTGGGAAATAGCCAATCTATGACCTAATACAACAAAGTGGTTAAAACTGTTTCTTACTTTAAGGACCATGGAACCTTCTTAAGTGTTAAGTAGAAAAAATAACTTAAAAAGCAATCCTGTTATATCTGAATAAAGTTACTGTCTCACACAACTCTTTTTTCAGGTCCTGAAATAAAATATACCAGAATTACTGCAGGTGGTTCAGATAATGAAGAAAAGTTAAAAAAATTGCTTGAAGAAGGTTAGTATCTTTGTTTTCTTTCCTTCCATTAAAAAAAAAAAAAATACTTAAGTAATTACTGAATAGATACTCCAAGTTTTCAGTGAAGGTGCTCATACTGCAAAATCATATCCAGGGATTAAACCTCAGAACCTGAGAAATGTCCAAATCTAATGTTCTGTTTTGAGTCTCTGATCTTCATGTTTCAGTCAGCTCCAGAGTGGAGGCTGCCTGGGTCTAATATATAGTATGCTATGTTTGTCATGAAATATGGTGTTTTCAGTGTTTATGTGGAATTTAATATCACAACAGATTGATTTTGTAATTCAGCAAAGTGCTATGACAGGATTAATTCAGTAGCATGCTGTTACAGTATTGTCAAATGTTTTCTATAAATCAATTTTTTGCCATAACCTGTATCCTATCAGAGGTTACCAAGGTGACCAAATTTATTGAAGGTGATGGTCATTTACCTGAAGATGAAGAAATCAAAAGACTTCTGCAGGGAGGTAATTCAGTGTATTATAACTAACCTTTTTGCAACAGGTTATGATAACTGAAACCCCTCTCAGATATGTTGATATCAACATTTTAAAGACTGACCTAGTGAAGTCTCATTTCAATGGAAGAAAAAGTAGAATGCCGTATATGAAGTGCCAGATGTCTGTGAAATGGAAATAAGCACCAAAGATTGATTGATCAATTTTTTAATATTGATCATGGAAAAAAATTATTTCAGTCTTTAAAAAGTTATCTAATTAAAACCCAGGGGAGCAATGAAGATTTATTCCACTAGCTGTGAACTCTCTTTTTAAGCAAATTTAAATCTGTGAAAAACACTTATGAAGTGGAAAGTATTACAATAGGCCAAATTCATCTTACTTATTAGTTCTTCAGAAATGAATATTCATTGCCCTCAAGTTTATAATTAAAGGCATGTTTAACATCCTTCTTTCAGTGCTTACAGGTGATGGGTATCAAAGCATTAACTTTAATTCTCTTCAAACATAGCATTCCAAGGAATGGTTTTCTTTCTCTCTTGCTCTCTTAATTCTAACAGTTTTGGCAATATGTAACCAGTAGCTGTAGAAAACTAGTGAAAGAACTTGTGCTTATGAAATTAATCTTTACCTATGAATTTGGAATGTTCTCTGCTTAATGTAGATTAGAAAAACTATAATAGCAAGGGGGAATAAAAAAAGAGAATTCAAGTTTTTTATTTTTAGTAAATATTAGTGTAAACCTGAGTCAGAAGCTCAAAAATATGCATGGATGTTTCTCTTGGCATAAATTAACTGAATCTTCTTCATTTTATGTTCACGTTTTAGTAAGTTGCTTCACTGGTATTCAAGTTTGTAGTTCACAGCCAGTGGTGTGTTCACTGAACTAAATCTTGTAGTCCTTCAAGAGCACTATTCTGTGGATGTGACTTAAACTTCAGTTAAGTGAAAAATTTAGTGATGACTGAAGAAGCTTTCCACCAAACAAAATCATGCTAGTTGATAATACAGCTAGTCTTAGAGAAAAGCCAAGATACGGCTATGAATACTTTTGGCTGTACTTCTTTCTTTTTTTTTCTTTTTTTTTAAACATCTAAACTTTAGTTTTACAGATCTGAGCCAGGATCTGTCTATAATCATTGGCGAGAAATAGGAACTTCCAGAGGGTTTTTCATCTTATCCTAAGTGTCCCAACTATGTGGAAAGAGTTGCTCTCTGAAGATGTTTATTTCAGTGTTAAATATTTAACAGGAAAGTTGAAAATGAAACAAATTACAGAAAAAAAATAAAAATCCCTCCATATACTGGACTATGTTCTCTTGGTGTCATCCAGGCAGTAAAGAGAGGATCAAACTTTATCTATAGAAAAGTTCAATATTCTGGTGACAGGTCTGATGCCAGAATCTAACAGTTACAATTGTAATTGTAATCATTTTGAGTTACAGAGGCATACCATTAAATAGACATAATCTGTAGAGATACATCTTGCAGTGATCCTATACATGTATGGAAATGAGAAACAGTTTCTCTGTAGCAAATTTAGAAAATACAACATTGTCTCTTGAATTCTCACTATTTTTCCTTGCTATTATATGTTATTTTGCATAAGCATTCTGCTTTACAGAATGGACCAAACAGGCAGATTTATCTCCTGTTTTAATTTGATTTTTCTCTGTCTTTTCCATTATTTATCCAGTCAGCTACCCTTGGCTGCCATGATAATAACTTACCATGAGTTTAGCCAGTGAAAGCAGATACACACGCTGCTTTATGGCTGTAGGTGATAATGATTTATGGCCCTCTTGTCTACATCAAATTACTTCTGTTTTGCTGAAAATTTCCTAAGCATTTAAATCAGAGTCCAGTCACATAGGAATGTATTGCCACTGTCTGAAGTAAAAGAATGATTTTGTATGGGCTGTAATTCTATTCATACAGTAATCAGCACTGCTTATTACAGTTGGCAGTGTTTGCTGAAACAAAATGTCAAGCCAAGATTTCAATAAATAACTCTCAGCCCTAGAGAAGGAATCACCTGTGGCAGGGCCAAGGAAATCAGCAGGACCTCACAGCGTGAATAACATAGTGGCCTGCATACAGCTACACCCCCAAAATGACATTGTTTCCACTGCAGGCTCCTTGCATATGGAAAAAAAATGCTATGCCAGATTTAACTCATTTGTTTTTGATGCTCATCATAGCTGGAACTGAGTATACCAAGGTTACTAAAGTAATTGAGGGAGAGCCACAGATTATCGAGAGAGAAATCAAGAAAGTCCATCTGGAAGGTTAGTTTGTCTAAAATTCCACTATCACTAAGACCTGTTTTGTCTGAAGTGATCATTCCAGGTGGGGTTTTACTAGTATCTCTTCACAAAAATTACTTAGGTCTGAAGCCAGTATTTTAGCAAGAAGTTTTACAGCTGTTTTGGAAAATTGCTGTTTCACTGATGTTGCAGAGAAAAATGTTGAGGCTTATCTTGTGCCTAAAAGTAACTAAAGATTTGGCAAGCATAGTAGACAAGAAGAAATGTTTAACCACAAAGCTTAGGTAAAACATTTGAAGGAACATGCACCATAAGAATTTCCTTTTCTCTAAGCAGCACATCCAGAAGAAGACCACGTGAGTTGTTTTTAACTTGAGTTATTTCTTGTCAGTGTTAATTGGTTGATTGGTTGATGTGAGGGGTTCTCAGCTTGGTGAAGGGAGGGTAGGGTGGAGGGAATATAACCTCTGGGGTTGAGTAAATATCTCACAGGGTCTTGGAATTTCTCTACTCTTACCCTGTTGTTAAATGAGAGAAGCTCTTGGGTTTGAAAAAGATGAATGGTGTCAAGGTCCAGAATGAATCTCTTAAAGGAGCCAAATACAATTCAGACTGGTTTTATAAAAGGAATTTGTTTTTCAATTTTAACAATAATTTATAATGATCTTCATTCAAAGTTAAGAAGTAGCTTGTTTAGGGTTTCTTTTGTATTTTTGTGTATGTCCTTTTCCAATTCTAATACTAATAATACAGAATAAATTCATCTAGCAGCCTTTGAACTAAATTCATAGGAAAACACATTATGGCTTTTGGAGAATGAAGTTGAATAAATATGTTTCTACTTTTTACATTTTGAAGTCTGTGATAAATATTGAAGGTATACCATAGTGTTTGTATAACTTTAATGTTGAATAGTACACATACAAGTCAACTGTTGCCTGAAAATGACAGACAGGTGTGATCTTTGGACGGTGAGGTTTACCTGAAAACATAATTGTATGGACAACATATAAGTATGGAAAGCATACTTCAGATGGACCGTGTTCTGTCCTTGTCAGGGCAGTACAGAGCCTGAAATTTTCTGTTAAGTTGGTGCAGATATCCAGTGTTTAGCCTCAGATGTAATGAGGTGAAGCCTGTATCTCAGGGCTGTGCATTTGTATGCCCTGTACCTCAGGATGAAAAGACACCTGACTGCAGCTAATTAAGCAAATATGAAGTGCTTCACAGTTGTAAGGAAGGAAAAATGCTGCAGTGACATTTCGTGACATTAAGAGGAGAATTATCTCTCATGCTTGTGAAATGGTTTTTTCCTCCCAGTGAGAAGATATGTGGTTTAAAAAAGTCTTAAGAGTTTTATGAGAAAGAGGAAAAAGTGTCCATAGTTTCACTGAGTCAGTATTTTGGAAGACAGAAGTATCTGCTAATGAGGGTGGTACCTATTCAATAGCCCTTTGCTCTACTCTACTCTTTAAAACTGAAGTCTGTGGGAAAATTAACTGAACTCTAAATGTGGAATCATATTGTGAACTCACAATGCAGTTACACATCAAGCCCCAAACACAGCTGGAAATGTGTCCAAGATCTTGTGATGGTTGAGTTTCAAGCATATTGCTTATAAATAATTCCGGAAGTAACATCTGTACAGCAGACCTGGATGTTGTCTGCCAAAAGGTCAGACTGAGTCCTGGGATGTACATTAACCTGAGCTTGTATGTTGCCAACAGTGTCAGATGGTGTTTCCTGAATGAAGTGCGTGGGCAAAATGTCCTGGAATCTGCCTATACCATGTAACCGTCTGTAGGAGATCAGTGTGAATAATGGATTAATTCATACTGTTAAAATATAAAAATACTTTTGAAATGTTGGTAAGATTTGACGGATGACTGCATGTGATAGTAGTGAGTGAATTGTATCATAAGCATTCATGTTTCAGGTGATCAAGTCAACATGCTAATGGGACAAAATTCTTATTTACCGAGAACCTTAAAGGACAAACTTTGCAAGTCAGCAATGTGTTGCCAACTTTTCTAATGAATTTTAAGTCAAAGGCTCTTACAAATAACTTCTGACTGTAACATTTCTGTTTTCTAGAAGCACCTGTACGGAAAGTACAGCCAACCAGGAGGACACAAGGTAAAAGCAAAACATATATTTAAACATTTTAACATGCATCAAATATTATTCTCAGTTATGTTAAAAGTCAGGAGGGAAAAAAATATACCCTCAAGAAAACAGAGTTCAAAAGGAAAGAGTTTTTTGGGTTTTTTTAAATTAACAAAGCTTGGTATTGATCATTTCTGGGTTTCCAGAGTTTTTTCTTGTGTATATTTCTATCTGAAAACAACTTAGATTATATGCTTTGGTGAAACAGTGTTTCAGATGAGAATAAAGCTGTCAAAGTGACATCTGACTCTGGAGTTTAAAACTGTGAAAATGGCACTGTGGGATTCCCCAACATGGGATTTGTAACTCACTGATTCTACATTATTTTGATCAATTAAGAAGTTGAGAGATCATTGTAATTTCCTAGCTGCCAGCACAAGAGTGAAGGATTCAGCTTCAAGCTTCATCTTTCCTCTTCACATCTGTTTCACAAGTAAATATGGTATACAGTGTAACTATATTAATTCTAAATAATAATTATATATAATATATATAATATTAAAAACATATA